TTATTCAACAGTCAGGGAGTAAAGAAACTAAGATTGGCTTCAGATACCATGAGCCTACTCCAAAAATATAATAATGCACTTAACATATAAAGTGCAGCAAGATAAAATATTGCTCTAATCAGTAAGAGCATATGTTTATTAAAATCAGCCAAATTTATACCTAAATCAATTGACCCCGAAATGGCAAGCTGATTCTATTCCTGATTTATCTTCATTTGGAAGATTTGTCTAAATACCACATGCATACTTTAAGCTATAGGACATTTATACGACATTTATACTTACTGCATTGATTGGTCTTGCATATGAATTTTCTTTATCCAATGTATTCATCCATGCATTTGAAGAGCGTTGTGATATTGCTTATCATTGTCAATCACAAGTAATATAGATAATACACAACACTTGACAAGCCAAAAATTAACCTTATTTCTGTTCTTCAATATTCGATTACTTGCCATTCACCCAATCTTGCACCAGCCGCTCGTCACCGCACAAAGCGTGATCCAACGCGATCGAAAAATGGCGATCGCTTCCGGTGGACGCTAGAACGTGGTACCGCGGGCGCGGTCTTGATGAAAGCCATTACACTGATCAAACCACAACCCCTTCTTCTTAAACCCGATGCTAGTTCGTGCAAGACCTTCAAAGGGTCTATCTTTCGCGCGCTTTGTGTGACGTAATATCACGTGACTACGAGAGAACGAAGAAGAACCGGTGTTGGTCGAGTTGAAGTCCCCTGGGGCCGCTAAGACTGCACGCGAAGAAGCAGCACGTGTCTTCGGTCTATGTGAAACACTGTGTGTGTTCTTCATGAACCAGACGTTCTGCTTCGCCTCTAAGCCAGTTTACCCTAATACCCAAAAAACCTAAGTGTGGAATATTTTAAGATGCTTTTGCATTACGTTCTTTCAACTTGTTTTCAGTGTAGACTAGGTACTAGAAATGGGTGATTTGGGGATGGAGGCACGGCCATATGCCACCCTCCCTCCCCCAGATCCACTAGTGCACATAATGATACAACAGGATTGCAAAAAAGGATTGCGGATTTGATCACAATCCAAGTGAAAAAAGGGGATTGCGGGTAGGAATGCAATCTACTTCGGCACAAGGAATGTGGATTGGGAATGCAATCCTTTCAAAAAGGATTTTCCCGATGCCTGCCTGCAGGATCTGTACTTGTTCATGTCTCGAGCATTAACAAAGCACTAAAGTAGCTTAGTAATCATTTCCCACATTTTCTGAGCATCTAACATGACATACAGCAGTGCAGAGCAGCTTCAGAGAAGAAACACTTTAAATGCACAGACTCACACCAGCCACCCAATGAGCCAGTTCCTCAGTTGACTGTTTCCCTGGACACAGCTTGGCAATGTGAGCTAACTTTTGGCAAGTTGAAGGTTAGCAGGTAAGATTGAGTTAGGGTGAGTACCTACCTATAACTGGGTGCTACTGCCATGCAGGTCTTGGGTAGGCTGCAAATATGTGTGATGATTGAGGTTAGGTCAGCTGTCAGGTTAGTCAGGTTCAGGTATGCTCATTGCTCAGGTCACATTTTTATGGACATTTGGCAAATTAAAAAACTAACAACCTGATCTAAGCTAACCCGACTAAACAATACATACACAACTACTGAGTACTGACTATAGGAACTGAGCAGCTAACTACTTGTGCCTACATCTCATACCATGTCAAAGTAGAGTTCCTTGGTGGAAGATTACCCTCAGTACTTTTTATCCCAGCCCTGTGAAGAAAACTAATACTTCTAAGCTCTGAGTCACTGCTGGCCATCCACAGGAAGAAACGCCGAGACTGAGAGCTTTGCCATTGTATATTGGACCAATAATGACTATCACGAATGACTATGAACACATAATATGATCACATCGTTGCATGGATTGTCACATTGACAATTTTACTACAATCCTTTTTTCAAGAAATACAGTGATGATGATTAACATCATAATCAACATAAAGTGGATTTAGTGATCCAAGCTTTCTCCTCCAGTAGCAATGGAATGATCGCATGTTTTATTTGCCAGACACTGAGTACCTGATGCACATTTCTGCATAGCATCTAAGCATAGTAAAACTGCCCAAGTCCATTCATTCTAGATTTTAACTTGATAGTTAGCACTAATTTATTTTGCTGTTGTAAGTTATAATTCAATATTCATACCACCAGTATAACGCCTTTTGGGGCGACTAACGGAGCGAGCGAGAGGGTGGGCCTTGCACGTGCGAAATTGCGAGGGGGTACCTCCAACTGACTTGTGCACGGCACCCTACTAACTGGTCTCTAGCGATGTGCCAAATTTGGGCACAATCGGCCCAGCCGTTCTCGAGATCTGGAAGCGGCACCCTGCACGTGCGCACGTGCAAAATGGGTCCCAACTGACTTGTGCACGGCACCCTACTAACCGGTCCCTAACCGTGTACCAAATTTGAGCGCAATCGGTCCAGCCGTTCTCGAGATCTGGAAACGACCCCTGCACGTGCGCACGTGCAGCAGCACCCCAACTCTGGCACATGTATATGCAGTGCCTAGTGGGTGCCTACCTACATGCCAACTTTCAGCGCAATCGGCCAAGTAGTTACCGAGATATTGCAACAATTACAAAAGTGACACCTCTTCGTTTTGCACGTGGCACGTGCATAAGGGGTCACCCACATGCATCGGGAATAGTCCAATACTTGGTAGAAGGAATGAAGCTACCCTACAAAAATTACCGCGTGTAAATCGGTCAAGTGGTTGCTGAGATATAAGCCTCGCAAAAGCGTGACCACGGCCGGCCGGCCGGCCGGCCGCTCATACTCAGAAATTTCCGTTAATCTAAGGAAAGACTACGCTCGCTTCGCTCGCTCCGTAAATACATCAATATGCGCTCATCAGTCAACATTTTCTGGCATGATCCTGCTCAGCGTGCTCTTCAGTATTGCTCCAAGGTCTGCAATATTATAGCTTGTTTTTGGACAATAAGCTCTTTTAATTTTACTTTTTCTTGCTGATATATGAGCCCGATCAACTTGCGTTTATCAACCAAAATTTCTTGACTCGTTCAACTTGATATTGATATTGCTCAGTAGTCAGGACCTCTGTCAGCCTCCTGGATACTTCAGATTGTTTTCAGTCAACATGCTTCTTAAATATGATATAAGTCAATCTTAAGGGATTCAAAACATCCAACAAAACGACGTACAAGAGCAAGAAAACCACCAGATAAACTAAAAAATGGCCTTGGAACAGAGCCAAGTGGTGCTCCATTTGTTTGTTTACAATGATTGTAGTGCTGATGTATTTTTAGGACTCTGAATGTCGGCTTATAAAAAATGAAATGTTTTACAAAAGTTGTAAGGCAAGTAATATTTATCTGAAAGAACTAAAATATTCAAAAGCCAAACACTATGAAATACATGAATCGGAACGAAAAAGTAACCCGAAAATCCAGCCTAATCACCGGCTCCTAAAACTGCAACACAATCAGCACTTTTCCCCGCAACTCGTTGTCCAGACGTAAATATGCAGCCTGCCTTTGCGCCGCCGATCGCAGCCGCGCGCCATGTTTACAATTTTATCAAGAACGTTTGTTTTCCTCTTTTATGCTATTGTAAATTCGTTATTATCGTCACTTCTGTCTTATAGTTTTCAACCGTATTTAATATCTGTCCTTGTTTTAATTTGTTGTAATTTCTAGATTGACTTTTCGCCGTTTCCATATGCTCGATTTGTTTTTGATTATGTAAAAAAGTGTTTTAATTTTTGGCTGTGTAGTTCCGCCCCCGTTGACTTCCTGTTCGTTTTGATCTCTATGGCTTTTGGCACGTGCTCTCAGTTCAAATATAAATTTAGTATCCGTACGCAGAGTGTCAGAGAGGCTGAGTATTTCGACGAGTTCCTAGTTTTATTTCTCACAGTTTAACCCATATCTAACCATAGTTCCACTGTTTATTTCGTTCTTTCATTGTGGGTAATTTCCTTTCCTCCGAACACGCCCCTGTTTACCCTGAGACCCACAGCCCCATTGTCTCAAATAGCCCCTTTACGGTATTTCTATTCATTAATTCCTCTATTAAAGCCATTTTTGTGTTTATGTCCGTCTACTACTGTGTTTATATTTATAAGCATGGTAGCTATCACACGTCGACAGCTGGTCAGCCAGCTGACTGAACTGAATCCAGTTGTTACCAAGGCCGGGCCGGGCCGGGCACAATCCAGGCCGGCCACAACGACAACATGCTGTCGTTGACAATCTCAAAGTTGGGTCTTCGTCAAAGTAGGCAATGCCTTAGGAGAGATTACAGGCAATAGTAAAATATTTTTAGGTTAAGTGGTTGTGTATCTGGCTTCACGCCGAAGGCCTGAAGTGGCCTGATGCATAACCAATAAATAATACCAACTACCAACTACCATAATAATACTATACTATACTACCTACTACCAACTACTACTACTATACTACCAACTACCATAATAATACCAACTACCATAATACCAACATAACCAACTGAAAATATTTGATTTACTATTGCCTGCAATCTATTCCTGCAAGTAACTATTTCTTTATTCCCGGTAGGCAAAAATCAGTAGGTTAGGTTTAGTTAGATTAGGTTGGGTTTCTTTATGCTCGGTAGGCAAAAATCAGTAGGTTAGTTTAGGTTAGATTGGGTTAGGTTAGGTTAGGTGAGGTCAGGTTAAGTTGGATTTGTCTTTCCGGCTAGAGACGTTAGTCCCCAAAGCCGCTGCCCTGGATCCGTCCCTTCTATGACGTCAGCCAAGAAGCCGCGTTATTGGTCGGGATGCTCGTGAAATACACTTCGGGAATACGCCATCGGGAGGGAGAGGCGGGGAGAGTCGCCTTAGGCGCCGTTACCTCACTGCGTTGGCTGATTGACATTGAGCACATGGCCGCGCCGGTGTCTGGCGGCTGTTTGTTCTCGGCCGTGCCGGGCTCGTGTTGCGGAGTGGAGACGGGGGCGTGGCGCCGCTGGGTGCGTCACAATCGATGGCCACTGAGGGCGAGCTGCGCGCCGCCAGAGCCGTGGCTGCAGTTGTCAGCGCACGAGGCGCTGGCTGGGCGGCGACAGCAGTCGAGCGACCACCGATGGCTGACCACGCGGAAACCGCTGGCTGGGACCAGACGTTGGTTATCGACGGCTGGCGAAACTCCCGGGGAGCCTCCAACCTGGCCTTCAACGAGCAGGTGAGCGGCACGCTACATGGCCACTGACGGTCACTGACGGTCAGAGACGGCCATATACGGTATAGGTAAACAGCCATCACTGACGGTAAGTGTATGCACGTCTGCAATTTTCCACAGCCTATTCGCCCAGCGGCACAGTGGGGATTTTTTCCGATCTAGCACGTATGTATGTATGTATGTATTGCTTATCTTTGGAGAAACCACACAGGCACTTACACTCCAGCGTCAAGCACAATCAAAGTAAGTTAAAATATGAAGCGAGCAGATCATTGTAAGAGGTCACACAGCCACACTGACATACCTATCGGGATCATTTGGACGCCAAACAACTGCGTATGCTTCGCCTGAACTTGGCCGCCCTCGACTGCCTCACATCCGGTGGCAGGCGGTTCCAAGTCGCAATGGCTCGGTGAGGGAACGACATTTTTGTGCACTGCAGACGACACCTAGGGATTTGTAGCATAGTATCATCAGCGGTGGAGCGCGTCGGTCTCAGCGATACCTGTGACCGAGTCTCAACGAGTGCCCTCAGCTGCCGAGATGCGTCCCTCTGCCGCATTACATGATAGATTCGCTGCACATCGCGCAGATCGATCATCGCGTCGAACGTAGGCCAGCCTAGCTCCAATCGGGCTTCCGTGACGCGGTCAAATTTACGGAGCCCTGTGACAGTTCTGACTGCGAAATTTAACACCTTCTCGATCCGTTTCCTGAGAGTCTTTGATTTGGGGGCCCAAACAGGAAGACAGTACATGAGTGTGGGGAACACCAGCGCCTGAATCAACATTTTGGTTGTCTCCCGAGGTAAATTCAATTTCCGAATAGAAACAATAGCACCACTACACTTCTTTGCCACTGAGCTAACCTGTTTTTCCCAGTTTATTCCTAGAGGAAACGTCTTTATTTTAAAGACGTTTCCTCTAGGAAACGTCTTAAAGACGTTTCCTAGAGGAAACGTCTTTATACGTCTTTATTCCTAGAGGGCAAACCAATGGTAGTGGTGACTGGTGTAGTCAGATTGTGCTCAGATGTTTGCTGTTGTGTTCTGGCGAGAGTGCTATCCCTAAATGTACGGTAGGGTGCTTGAAAAAAACAAATTTTCATGATGGAGCGGGAGCATTCTATTTTTTTTTTTCGGGTTACTTTTAATATGAATGTTAACTGTGTGTGATTCGATGTTTTTCACCTTCATTTACCACTGCCTCAAGACACATCCCGATGCACAATGGGACCGGAGCGAAAATTAGCGCGACATCGGTACTTTTTCGTATTTCGTGCCCGCTTTTCACATGAAAAGGATGGTAGAATCATAAAAATGGTGATCGGTGTACATTCTAAGCAATTTCTGATTAATTTAATTAAGTAATCATTAATTAATTCATTAATTAATTGATTAATTAATCGGTTGACCTGCCCTGACCTCGACTCCGCTCGGTCACGTGATAAGACGGCAGCACCTGTCAGGCCAGGTCATGACGGCACCGGAAATTCCGATAAGCAAATAATGTAGCCACCAAAGCCGTGAAGATGGGAATCTGATGGCCTACATGACTATGTAACAAATTTATTACGGGTCAGAAAAGTGTATCAGAAACTCCGATAGAAGGTACGGATATGTCCGGACAAAACTTTAATATAGTTGGTAGTTTTTGTTCGATTCCTGAGGTTCTGTTACTCGCGGCTCCCGGCCGCGGCGACCTGGAGTAAAAAAATGCCCCTCATTTTCGCTGCCGCAGGCTGACGCAGCTAAATTATACATTTTCTGAAAGGCAATTGATTGGTAAACACCATATTGATAAAAGAACAGCGGGACCTAGCGGGACTTTTTATATCGGCATTCCAGAATATCTATAACAGTAAAATTAACTCACAATTTTTAAAGCACCAAAAAAATTTAACATTTGAAGCGTATTTATATATCCCGCTATGAGTTTTTTTTTTCTTCCATCGTGTAGCCCATGGTCTAAACTATCAGGTTAGACGTCGAAAATATTGATAAAGCCGTCTAATAGATATATTTTTTACCTACATTAGCTGCTATTTTTCTCCGTACGAAAACGGGTCTACGATGCTTGGCACAAAACTTTGTATTTGGGCTGATGTGGCGCGGACGCTGTACACTATGGACGAAAAATATTTGCAGATTCGTGGTCCATGGACATTTCTGAACTACGTGACACAGTTTAACTCAATTTGGGAAAGGTCGCCAAATCCACCAATGTCGCGCTAATTTCGGCCGCGGTCCTATCGTGCGATGGGGTGTGATTTCCCATCGACTCGTTAACGGCATTGCCAGTATCGTTTACCACAGCCGGCTAGGAATCTCAAATACGATCGTGTACTGCCGGTAAAACGCTGATGATGCTGCAGTTGTGATTGCCAATCAATGCCACGCGAATTGCAATAATGGTACTATGTCAGTAACATGTCAAGAACATGGTAAAGTTCGAGATAAATTTAAATTCTGCCGGTGCTGTTATGATACCGTCTACCGACAAAACTGTAGCGAATCGTTCTTACATGTTCCTTTAAATTAGGAGTCGGCAACCTTTTTTGGGTGCGGGCCGGATGTGAGATTAGAAGCAGCCGGCGGGCCGGAGCATAGTATGGTTCCAATGTGCTTCTATGACAAGCAAATTTTGAAGAAAAAATATGACAGAGTTAAAAATGAGTTTTTAGTTGGGACAGCTTACATGTTTTGCCTTTTGCCATTTAGGATGAAACGTAGGGGAGGATGGGGAAGAAACCCAGAGGTTTGTAATGTCAGATAATATTCGAAAATGACGCCCGGAAAGCAAAAAATTGGAGTTTCAACGGAAGCCGACATCATTTTTCTCCACAAAATATCACACTTTTGTGCTTAAAATATGATAACTTTTTTTTGCTAGCAATCATTTTCCTGAAGAAGCGAAAGGGGGCATCTTACACCAGAGGGTGGGAAAGACGCCCCTGGCGCTGAGGAAGATGCCCCCTGCACTATAAGTGACATACTAGGTGGTGCTACTACTACTAGGTGATATACTAAGTGTTCATACTAGTAAATGGGCACGCGAATTGCCTGAACGAATAAGTAGTTCCTTCGAGTCTGCCACATTGCTCCAACAGACGGTAAATAACTTTTGAAAATACCCATCTCAAATTTTAGTGTTTTCTGAACCAAAATTTTGCGAGGAATCCGATGGTGTGTTCCCCGAAATTTGAAAAATTCCATTTTTGAGATAGCACCTATTTTTTGAAAAATAAATATTCGTCAGGCATACAAAAAACACGTCAGTCAAATAAATTGAAAATATACCTAATGAGTTAATTTTTGTAACAACACTAAAATGTGTCGAACATGAATTAGAGATATATTTTAGCTGAGATAATACTATATCTGCGCATACATGTACGTACATAAACTAGTACATTAACCCTCGCCGGCCGAGAAGGGGTGGGGCGGATGCCGCCTCATAGGGTTTTTCGCGATAGCTCAAAAGACGCTGAGGGTAGACAGCTGAAACTTGGCATACCTAATATTTTATTCAAGCTGGATCTTTTGACACCAACTGCGTTTTCAGGTCAGGTCAGGTCACTGACCTATGACGTCATAAATGAACCTATGCGCGGTCCTCAGAAGCTGCAACTTTGCAACGCCCTCAGTGCCACAGGAACTTTCACAGGAAGATGAAAGTTACAGGACGTAGTATCCTCTAGAGGTCTCACAAATTGCATATTTGGGATTTTTCCCAAATGTCACATGAGGTCAGTTCGGTCACGTGACCTCACCATAATAAGTCAATGGGGGGGAAATATGAAAACTGTTATTTTGGCGCCGGAAATTGTCTTAAACTGTCCCAAGCACATGAAATCGTGGTTTCATGCACTCTTTGTAAGGTCCGATCATGAAACCACGATTTCATGTGCTTGGGATAGTTTTAGATCATTTCCGGCGCCAAAATAACAGTCTCAATATTTCCCCCATGGACTTATAATGGTGAGGTCACGTGACCGACCTGACCTCATGAGACATTTAGGTTAAATCCGAGATATACAATTTGTGAGACCTCAGAAGGATACTACGTCCTGTAACTTTCATCTTCCTGTGAAAGTTCCTCTGGCCTGAGGGCGTTGTTAAGTTGCATCTGTTGCAACATCTGAGGACCTCGCAGAGGTTTATTTATGACGTCATAGGTCAGTGACCTGACCTGACCTGAAAACGCAGTTGAGGTCAAAAGATCCAGTTTGAATAAAAGATTAGGTATGCCAAGTTTCAGCTGTCTACCGCCTAGGCGAGTTTTAAGCTATCGCGAAAAGCCCTATGAGGCGGCACCCGCCCCACCCCTTCTCGGCCGACGAGGGTTAATGTACTAGTTCATGTACAATGTACATGTGTGCGCAGATATAGTATCATCTCAGCTAAAATATATCTTTAATTCATGTTCGACACATTCTAGTGTTGTTACAAAAATTAACTCATTATATTTTCAATTTATTTGACTATTATGCCTGACGAATATTTATTTTTCAAAAAATAGGTGTTATCTCCAAAATGGAAATTTTTTCAGATCTCGGGGACCACACTATCGGATTCCTCGTAAAATTTTGGTCCAGAAAACACTAAAATTGGAGATGGGTATTTTCAAAAGTTATTTACCGTCTTTTGGGGCAATGTGTGCAGTAGACACTTAAACGCTACCGCCTACCATAAGGGCCCTCAAAAGTCGTCGTGAGGGGCTTCAGCGGTCATCGTGAGGGCCATCATAGTCCAGCGCGGCCAAACAAGCTTCCGTGGTGGCGTTCAAAGACCGTTGTGGGGCCCTTATAGATCTTTATGAGGCTTGAGGGCCCTCAAGACCATCGTGGGGAGTGGGGACATCAGATACCAGCATGGCTCGAAGAGCCAGAGTGGGAGCCTCCAAAGGATGCTGTGAGGGGTCTCGCAACCATTAATCGGGCCCACAGAGGCCGTTTTTTTTTATTGATTGATTGACGTTCCGGCCGTCGGGCCCGGTGGGCCC